TTTTGCTGCAGTAACGAAGAACCCCAAGATCTCAATGACTTAACTCAGCAAAAGTTTATTTCTCACCTATGTAAGCCTAGGTCCACTGAGGGGTGATTGGAGGCTCGGCTTCTCACATCTACACTCCAGGACTCAGAATGACAGAGCAACCGCCTTCTCATGTGTTGCTTTAACAGAGGGAAGGAGAGCTCTGGAGGGTCTCAAACCAGCAATCAAATGCTTAGGCTCAGAGGTAGCATGCTTCCCCTCATAACTCATTGGCCAGAACCAGGCTCAGGTCCCAATTCAACTACTACTAGGTGGACCACTTTCTAAAGTCAAGATATAATTTTTACTCCTAGGTTTCTAGCGGTTACTACCAAGAGGTTTATATGCATTATGATATCTGCATGACTTTTGGTGTCTATCAAATTTGAAAATAAAGTTCCATTGCTCATGATAAGTACAACTACTCCTGGGGTTAAAAGCAGGAGAAACTGTATTATTTTAATAATTTTCTCATAGAGGAGATGCCATGGGATGAAGTAAACAACGTTTTCAGTAACATTCTTAGAGCAAACATATGGGCTTCATGGGGGTTCTTTGAATACGGTCCTCAAACATTGTCTGATGGTAAAATACTGAAGAGCAATTCATGAAAGCAAATTTGCAGGAGTCTAGGACATAGAGGTCCCAGCATGCAGCACTCTGGGAGGCTGGCCTAAAAGGGATGGATTTTAGAGCCTATAATAGAAAAGCTGCAGAATGGCAGTTCTCTCTTCAAATCCATCCTGCTGAAGTGTTTTGTTGGGCTCTATGTGTTGAAAACTTTTTTTAGTTAGTTGCCAGTAGTTTAAGTCAAGAGATGTCACATAAAAACCTAAATTTTCAACTTTTCTGGAAAAAAATTAGAGTACCTGGCAACCTTGGACCAGCTCTGGGCAGCACCTGCCTTCTATAAACGAGGCATAAAATGTCCGAGCCACCACAGTCCCCTGGGGTTCTCGTCACTCAGGAGTGGCACCCGCCCTGTCCCGGGTGGTACTTATGTCTGTAGCTTCTGGTCTGGAAGAACGGATACAGTGTATTCTCTTTATTTTTTTTATTATTATTTTTTAAAATTTTATTGAGGAATCGGGGAAGGGACACATACAAGTTGCTGTCCTTTTTGTTCTTCAGTCTAGCTGTGGAGGATGTTGCTTCACTGGCCCATGTTGGTGTTATCATTGCGCTCTTGCCGGGTGAGACAGTCTCTTGCTGCCCACTGGACGGCTGCTCACGGTGGCTCACGGCAGCTCACGAAAGCTCATGCCAGCTGCCAGCAACCCCACTGCAGCCTACACCATCACCAGTGACTCACGGCAGCCCAGCTCCAGGTCAAGCTGTTGTTCACCATCTTAGCTGTAGAGGGCAGTGTCACTGGCCCTCATGTGGGATCCGAACCAGNGAAATAAGTGGAAGTCTGATGGAGCAAGGTCAGGCCAGTATGGTGGGTGTGGCAACACATCCCATCCAAGCTCCAATCATTTTTGATGGGTGATCAAACTTGTGTGTGATCTTGCGTTGTGATAGAACACAACTCCTTTATGATTAACAAGCTCTGGACGTTTCTGGATGATGGATTCGTTCAACTGTCCAATTGCTGACAGTCACATTCAAATTGATTGTTTGGTTCCTTGGTAGGAGCTCGAAAAACACACCACCTTTAAAACCCCACCACACTGAGAGCATAACCTTCCTCTGATGAATGTCTGTTTTCGATGTCGTTTGAGGCGAATCATCACGTCGGGACCCAGACCGTCAATCCACTTCTCATCACCAGTTATCAGTCGCTTCAAAAAAGGATTGCTTTCCTCATGTTTAATGAGCATATTGCAGATGTTTATATGCGCCATCAAATGAACTTCTTTGAGTTCATGCGAAACCCAAATATCGAGCTTGCTTACGTATCCCAGCTTCTTCAGGTGGTCATGAACGCTTGAATGATGGATGGTCAATGTTTCTGCAATCTCTCGTGTTGTGTAACGTAGGTTTGACTCGATCAATGCCTTTATTTTGTCATCATCAACCTTGGTGGGCCTCCCTGACCGAGGAGCGTTGTTGAGATCAAAATCACCAGCACGGAATTTCGTGAACCATCATTGGCACTGACGTTCTTGTAGAGCATTGTCACCATAAACTTTATGCAACTTTTCACAAGCTTGACATGCATTCTTCCTTTTATGGAAGTGAAACAGTAAAATGTGGCAGAAATGTACAGTTTGGTCTTCCATCTTCAACTTGTAAAATCTCCAAAAGTCAACCAAATTGCTCAATTGTTTTTTTAGAATGAAGCTAGAACTGTCAGCTGTCAAATGACATAGTAATAACATAGATGCAAATGACTCTAGTACTTCCAAAAATGAACCAGTGCCATCTATCGCAAACATGCGTCATGACTTTTCCGACAACTCAATACAACCCAGATCGAGACAGAGGGATCTTTGTCTCCTTTTGTTCCTTTCTGACCAGGGCACCCAGAATAGGCAGAGCCACTATTTTTATTTTTTTCATTTTTTTTTCTTGATTTTATGGTTTTACCACCTATATGAGTGTCCATAAATAATATCAAGTTTGCCTCTTTTTGAACTTGATAGGAATAGAGGAATATTGTATTTAATCATTTGCGTTTTCCTCTTTTTCTTCAATATTAGGTTTGTAAGACTTATCCATATTGCTGAGTAAAACTGTTTGCATTCATCTTTTTTTTAATTGCTCTAATGTACTCCATTTGGGGACTGTCCCCTGATTTATTTGTTCATTCTAAGTTGGTTGGCCTCTGAGCTGTTTCTGGTTTGAGTGTGTGGGGTAGACAGCAAAAGTTTTTTAAGCCTCTCTACCTCCGTGCCCTCTGCCAAATGACTCACTTTGGCCACTGGACAGGTGATGGTGTGCCAGGTGTGAGCCACAACTTCATGGGGACTTGCATATTTCTACCAACCTTCTTGCACCTCTGTCGTTGCCACGAGGCCATGGGCATGTGAGGCTGCTCATGTCAAGAGGAGGGTGAGAGACGCGTGGAACAGAGCAAACTCGTGGAAGCATGAGTGAGGCCAGCCCACATCAATGGAAGTCCATGAGCGTGCACAATAAATGCTTATCGCTGTATGATGCTACTATTTTGTCATTGTTTGTTATGCAGTATTATTTAGCAATAAGTAATTGATACAAGCTGCTATAGTAACACTTAAAAGCTTATTAATGTTGTTGTCAGAATTAGTCATTTTAACTCAGATTTCTCAAATTCCAAAGCCTGAGTTCTTTCCATTGTACTGAGCCCCTATCTTTTTTTTTTTTTTAATTAGCATTAGTAAAAAATGTCAGCTGAAATTTGCACTCAGACTCCTAGCTTATGGGTTCGAACGTGAAAAATACATCTATGGCTATTATGAGCTCTCTTTATATCTCTTTTGTTTGTTTGTTTGTTTGTTTGTTTGTTTATTTATTTATTTATTTTACATTTGCAAACTTCGGCTTCTAAAATCTCTTCTTGAGTGTACTGGGAATATTTCTTGTATATGGCATTCTTTCTTTCTGTTTTCATTTCCGAGTCCTTTAGCAGAACTGTGGAATGACCATAGAGTATCCAGATAGTTACATCAATACTTACCCTGGATAACCTGGCGTCCAAGGGTCTCAAACTGATGGCTCTCGGGACAAAGTTAGTTCACCAATCTATTTTATTGGTTCATCATGAAACAAACAGGACTTCTCATAAAAATCTAGATTTTAAGCTTCTCCTGAACTGTGAGAATATCTGCTTACACTGGGCCTGCACTCCTGCACGTTAAACATGTAATGAAACTGAGAAGTAAGTGGTTGTCCCCTTCTAAGGGATACATAGTCTCTAATTTGCCACAGTCCCCACTATTCCCTATTGTCCCTGATACTGGAGCTGAGTGTTGCTTGCCATTTGCCCTTATGATAGTTCTCCAATGTTGGAGAAATATTTTTCTGCATCCATGTCTCAATAAAGGGAACAATAAAAGTGACTAAAAGAGAGTTCCAATTATTATTATTATTATTATTATTATTATTATTATTATTAGCAATTGAGGTTTTAATCAAAGTCTTTATCCAGTGGCAAATGTGCAAATAGGTCTTGCCACATATTCCCCAGCTCCAGAACCCATTATCTACTGAATAAAGTTCAAATCCCTTAGCTTGGCATGGAATTTTGTCACCGTCTCAACCTAAATGTTCTCTACAGCCCCTCCTACCAGGTGATCAGATAGGAATTGCATATTGTTATTTCTTTTCCCCAGCTCATCCTAACACAATGCTTTAAACATGATAAGTATACAGGGAATGTTGAGTGAATAACAGAACCACCCTCGTAGGAAACTGAGCCTATCTGCTTACCATCGCCCTTCTCTCCTGAGAAGCTGATAGCGCTACCCCTCTAGCAGTTGTTGGACATCTGCGACAACCTAGCCAATTGTGGTTTTGTAACATCCTTGTAATGCTGGGTAGCTGCAGGATTGGGCAACTGGTCAGGGCTGAGCCAGTCAGAATCCTTCCCTGGGACTTTTCATTTTATAACCAAGAAGGAACAGCAATATGTCGTCCGTGGTGAAGGCTGTAAGGCAACGGTTCTCAACCTGTGGGGCACGACCCCTTTGGGGGTCGAACGACCCTTTCACAGGGGTCGCCTAAGACCATCGGAAAACAAAAAGATATTTACATTACGATTCATAACAGTAGNGTGTGTGTGTGTGTGTGTGTGTGTCAGTGTGTATGTGAGAGTGTGTATGCATGTGAGTGTGTGTGGGGTGCCTGTGAAATAACAAAGCCACTGAATAGAGGCCTGGGCAGTGATCATGGTGACTGTCCTGCACCCACTCTTCCCGGTACTCCCTCTAGTCACTGCTTGGATCAGGCTGTCCGCCAGCCTGGGCACACCTGTCAGCTCCATCTAACTCCGCTCTGCCTGTGTCACCCAGGCTCATCTACCATCTCTCTCTGCCTGACTTTTCTCTCAGGTCATAAAGGGGCGTAGGAATGGTACCTGGATGCTGGCTGTGCCTGTTGGCCGAGGACTGAGTGAGTGTGTCCAGCCAAAGCTCTTACGGCAGTGTTTTCAAACAGCAAGGACTCAAAAACGCTAGTTCTTTTGAATAGTACCTGTGCAGCCTTAGAGGCGCACGCTTTCTGTTGGACCACAGCACTCCTCTGTGGCAGGTCACACGCACCTAATTTGAGAACGTGTTGAAGGTCTGCTCACCCCCCATTCTGACACGCTCACCCTCACAACATCCCAAACGCCTGTGCAGCAAAGCCTGCAGCCTCCCCACATTCCTCGGCTGATAAGAGGGGGAATGAAGGATGGGTTTAAAGATAACCGCATGCTACAGGGGCAGACCTCCCGGGAGGACCCATCTGGCAGGCAGTGGGGAGCCCTGTGTCAAGTGGCCACACCAGGCTCCTCTCCTGTATCAGCTTCTGCACCCCAGAGCTGCCCTGAGGGTCCCCAGGATAAATAACCACTGTGATGGGTCTGATTTACACACTTAGAAGCTCGTTTTCCTCACATGTGAAGAGCAGGGACGGTGAGCTTGAGAAATCATTCAACTACTTTGTATTTCGGTGGAGCCCCAAATACACCAGGGGCTCCCACTCTGCCTCGTGGCTCATCTTTGGGTGTTTTATGGTTTGGGGGAACCCTTCTTCCCTTGAATTATTTACTTTGGAATCATATGGACTTGAGTACAATTTCCTCCCCTGTTTTTTTTCTTTTTTTCTGTCTTTCTCATTTTTAAAGAAGTGAGAATATACAACAGCACTGTTAGGAACCAGGACTGAGAATCAGTCTCTCTCTCTCTCCTCTTCTTGATGTCAAAGGCTTATATTTTCCTTCTTCGCAACTACTTATTAACATCAGAAGAAGATCCTCTCCTATGCGCTTTTGCACCTGCTCCTTTGGACAAGCCCGAATGGGGGACGTTATCATATCCATCCTGCTGTCACCAAAAAAAATAAATAAATAAAGATTATTTTTTGCCTCCTAATTACATCATTTTTAAGTAGCAAAATTGGATATTTTTTGTCTGTAACACTTTTATTTCTTTCATTTTGATCTAGAATAGAACTTTAAAGACTCAACTACAGTCAAATAGAACATTCATACTTCAGGGAAATGTGTAGAATATAAATGCACATTTTAACAAAGCAGCTGCCTGAGTAACTATTGGGTTGTTGGAAAAGTCATGACGTATTTTGTCTATGTTTTTCAAAGGTCATTTATTTATATAAAGAACAAAGATCAATCATTCATAGAAGAACCTGTCTTTATTTGCGAAAAACTGAACAAGGTGCTGATTTACA